CACACACCTGTGAGTGTGTATATCGGGGTGTAACATGTTAAACGCCATCCCTGACAGGTTCTCTGCGGCCTTCATAAAGCTTCAGGGTGCAGTGACATTCCAGCTTACCTGAAGAGCTGACCTGAATAAAAAGAAAACATGAGAAATGGGGGGAAAAGAAGCTAGGCTGAAGTCTCAATTCATTCCTGTTACCTTTTAGGTAACACCGCCCCATGAGAAACACACACACAGAAAACAACAATAGAGTTAGCATCGCACGTTCTTTCATCTGCGGCAGATAACAGGCTCACGTTACCATCTCTCACAGCACTGCCACTGCTCTGGATGCTCATTCAGCAGCACAATGATGCTTTGTCGTGTCACATAGACACGTCTGAATACACAATCACCTGACTGAACTGTGAAAGGCGGCAGTAATTCAAGGCCACGTCTCTCAAAAAAAAAAAAAAAAATAATATATATATACCCCTTTCTGTTAACAAAACGACAATAATAATAAATTATACATCAAATTAAACAGATAAACAGAAAATATACCTGCAAGCAACACATTTAGCATGAATTCAGCTGTCACTCAGAGCTTGCTATTTTAAGACCAAATGTCGGTTTGTAGTTATTAATGAACTCATATTTCATAAGTGCATATTTAGTCTACATTTATATTTAATAATAGTCTATCAAACAGATCTGCCACAACTCTGAATATTCCTGATACTTTAAATGTTGCAAGTGTACACTTTTCTGGCAACAGAAGCAAAATTTGCTGAATCATTTAGATCTCTGGTCATTAAAAAGATACGTTATATTCAGAAAAATATTTCAGGAGATGGACTTTTTCACTGGAGGTGAAATTATGGACTCTTATTTAAGCAACGGTTTGAAGTTAAAAATGATTTAATGATGGATTTGTGTCTTACAAACTCACAGCTTTTGGCTCACAATATATTAACTGATGGACTGGAGTGGTGTGGATTACTTGTGGATTATTGTGATGTTTTTATCAGCTGTTTGGACTCTCATTCTGATGGCACCCATTCACTGCAGAGCATCCATTGCTGAGCAAGTGATGGGATGATTAATTTCTCCCAATCTGATTAATCTGATGTGCGTGTGTGTGTGTGTGTGTGCGTGCGTGCGTGTGTGTTTGTGCGTGTAACTAAAATTGGCCATTAAGTTTGAAAATCACACACCAACAAACCATTATATGATGACAAAATTATTCCCAAACATAAATCTCAAATGCCCCTTGTGTCAGTATACTGACTTCAAAGCTTCCTCTATAAAAACAGTTGGTTACTGACTGTGTTGCTTTTGCCATCTGTCCAGTGACATTCAGAGCTCTTGACATGAGGCTGTATCAGACGCCTTGGGACTGAGAACAGGTTAGATCTACAGTAGACAAATTCACAAACTCCTCTCCAGTTTATCCAGAACATTTCCTCAAACTAAACTGCTGCTGCTCATTTCAGAAGTGAATATATTAGCCAGTCATTACACTTCA